GGGGGGGGGGGGGGGGGGGTAGTTAACGCGGTTCTAATACCGCTCAGGAGTAAATAGCGTAGTAGGAAGTTATGGCTTATAGAGAGGTTCGACTGTATGGTATATGTGTAATTATAATTTTGAACGCGTTTTAAATACATGAACGATAAGAAAATACTGCTTTTATCGAGGATAAATATTACGTTATCACTACGCAATAGTTTACTAGTGAGTGTTACTAGTAAATGTTTGAAGTACTGACCTTGATTTCCCAGCGTGTTCCCCAGTTTCGCAAGAGCCTGAAGGTTATTCATTGCGTGACTGGTTGAACTGAGGTCGCCGGCGAAGAGGTCGGCCAAGGTAAAAGACGGGGTAGGGCTGGGATTGGAAGTAGGCTCCACGCCGACCGCACTGTCGCCAACCATGTCGACCTTCTCTGCAAGGCTCGCAAGTTGCTGAAGGTTGTACTCCTGGATGCTTGTCAGACCGTGGATCTGAGCAGCTGGGGGAAGAGAGACAGGTGGCGGTGGTGGAGGAACATTCTGAGGGCTGGATGTTGGTGGTATTACAAAGGAAGGTTCACCTTCAAAAGAGGATTGCATTGACGCAGGAAGGGAAATCGGTGAGCTGGTGCTCAGGGACCCTGCACATCCTATTGAGGTGTGTACTGGTATCTGGACAGTAGGCTGTACTGGGGGTATTGGTTGCACTGCAGGCAGCAACTCTTGTGGAGCTTTTGAAGCTGAGGTATTCTCTGTCCTGAACTTGCCAAAAGCTTCCTGAAAAGAAAACGAAGTGTACAAACGAATATAGTTTGAGCTTTCCTTGTAGGAGGGATCCTGAAGTCTGTTATCACAAACCTTGACGGTTTTCTCAAAGTGATTGTAGTCTGTTTGAAATTCGATGGAGAATGTGACATTTGGCTTTGGCGTGTTCTTGATGAGATTGATTAATTGTGTCCCTACAACACGACGCAGAGCGAGGATCTCTACGGCGTCACCGTGTTCCAGGAGGCGACTGGTAAATCGACAAGCATCTTCGATCTTCTCCACGGTCTTCTCCACACTGGGAGACAAGAATTTTTTTGTGAATTATGGTTTTGTAGGGAATTGGAAAAAGTTCGACTTACCTGTGGAAGGTGTCCATGATTTCAAGTTCTCGTTCTGAATGCAACTTCTCGAGATCTTCCAGAGCACTGTCGCGGCACTTCTCTAGGACGGCCTTGTAACTCTGGAAGGTTTCGACAATGAGGTCCTTGGCTTGGTCGTGCTGCACCTGCAGCTCGCTCAGGGCATTCTCCAGCTGAGAGGATGCCTGGTCACAATCAGCAATTCTGGCTTTACTCTCTGCCATCAGACCTGCCAGTTCTTCCTTTTGTCTTGGTTCGGCGTCGGAAAGACGCTCGTACTGATGATCTGGTGCTTTGTGTTCGACGAGAAGACACTCGTTGCAAATTGGTTCCTGCAAAGTGGTAAAAATTAGAGACTTAAAACAACCTATACAGCTTCCCAAAGTTCCATTTACGTAGACACCAAATTGTATCATACCTGGCACGTATAACAAAAGAACTTCATATTCTCAGCTGGATGGCAGGTGCAGAATATCGGCTTGTGGATTGGTATTCTTTCGTTAGATCTTTTGAGATCTTCAAAAGCAACGACTTTGTGACTCTCAAAACATCTCATGAATTGGTGTGCTGTATTGCAATTGGGGCAGAGAAAATTGGCGCAGTCCGAGCACCTTGCAACAGCATTTTCCTTGGCTTTACACGAGGTACAGAGAACAGCCATGTTCTCAATGGCAGACATATCCAGAATATTGGTCAGGACATAGTCAACAGCAAGAGATGCAGCGCCTTTTGCGCCAACGTTGGTCTCTTGTCGACATAAGGGACAATTGAGCACTGAGGCCAGCTTGGAATCACCAGCCTCATCGATAAGGAGTTTATCGAGGCAAGCCTCGCAGAAGACATGTAGACAGGAGAGAACTCTCGGTGCACAAAGTTTGCTACAGCATACAGCACATTCCTGTTCACCAGCTTCGCCAGCAGAACGGATTGATTCTTCAAGAGCATCTCCAGGTACACCGTACGAAGGACTCCCTGCATACCCAGGACTTCCAGAAAAAGTGGCGCCACGTTCTTCAAAGTCGTTTTCAGCATCATCGCCACTAACCGAACCGGCTGGCACGGCCATCGTAGATGCCATGGCTTCTTGTTAAGGATAACTTATAGAACTGTGGAGGCTTGTTTGAATTTAGGACAATATCGTCGAGGTTTACTTTAAGCTAGACTGGGAAGCCTGGAATAAGACGGATAAATAAGACGCCACACAAAACACATGATAATCAAGAGCAACAAAAGACGGATAAGACAAACGAAGAATGCCTCATGACGGTTCTTGAGGGTGATTCAAGTACTGCATACAGACTTTTTCTTGGCTGATCCAGGACTCATACTAAGGCTTACCTTAATTCCAGACCGCGACCATATTTATTGCATGGCTTTCGTACAATTCGCCATGCCCAGCACTGCCATGTTAGAGTTTAATTTTTAATACAATCAACTTTTCGACTCTCGTGCCAATGATACTAATAACCATTATTGAGCGCAGGGATGCATTCCAAGCTATTCGTGGTTTTCGAATCCCATTGGTTCGTCAAGTAACGCTTAAATTTTATTGGTCAAGCGTTAGATGTCGCTCACGATATGTAGAACATCGAATAAAACTGACTTAGAAGGATAACTCTAGAAACAGACTCAGAGATGAGTGGGGAGATGCACAACGCTCCGGTTTTAGGCGATACCAAAAGCATGGCACTAAATCGTAGCGGCGAGTCCGGGAGTAGGATTTCGTGATCATCGCCTCTGTCGATGTTACAGATTTCGCGTAGCCGCGCGGGTCATGATCATCGTTCCAGCCGATATTGCAGTCAGCGAAAATGAATGGATTGCTCGGTGGTGGGAAAAATGTTGCCGCCCCTCACAAACCGTTCTTGACAAACAGGCGGGGCAGCAAGGTCTTCCGTCCAACCGAACCCTAAACATTTGTATGGACATAATGCGCAAACAAATGTGTATATTCAAATAAATTTCAAAGTTATAAAAAATGCATAAAAATATTGGTTTTCACTCTTTACCTCTTATCATGCCGAAAATGAACATTAAAAAATGAATGGCGAAATTCGTTGGTAAATGAAACGACCGAGAACAGTTCAAAGAGAAATTTTGAAATATCATAGATAAATATCTATAATAAATTGAATTTAGTATTAAACGAGCATCGTAGCTGAGTCAATAACCTGTCAAGGTTTCTCTCTTTTAACTTTTCTAGGTTGCCCAAAGTTTTTTTTATTCTCTTTTGTTCGTCCACGTGGAGAAGAGTGGCGCGAAAGTTCTTAACTGGAGTGCATCTTCATATTATTCTGCTTATATGTAAAGTAAGCGAAACGATAATAGTAAGCAGTTGAATAAACCCACTCATCTCTGTTTCAGTGGACTTCATACATTCCAGAATAATCGCAGTGTGCTGTGTTACCAACATATTTAAGAATTTCAATACAATTATATTTATTTCAAAGATGAAATAAAATCTTGACGTAATTCACGTAACATTTAGTAGAGCAAGGAAAACTTGAATTCTTATTATTTTTTTCACAACAATCGAGAGGTTCGATAAGTTTACCTTATTAATTCATATTTGTGCAGCTACTAAAAATAATCATAAGAGCAGCCAACTTATTATCAGATTATTTATTTCCTTCGTTTGAATTTATTACACGGGATGTTTTAACTGACTAATGACTTATCGACTATGATGAATAGTTGGCAGTCCAAATAAAAATTATATTCTTTGTGAATTGAACTGTACCTATATACCACAAGTTGTCTAATATTGTATTAGGAATGTAATGCGTACTTACATTAAAAGATTTCAACATAACCATCGATAATACAGCGAAAATAGATGGATTTGTTAAGATCCAATGTGTACAGAACTTTGCACAGTAATATGTTTTTAAACCAGGTTTGTCAAATTTATTCTACCTTGGAAGTAATACAGAACTTAAAGTTATATGGTAAATAAAAAAAATCTTTTTCCTTAAATAGATTATGAATGGAATACAGTCATTGTACATTTATAATGTACCTGGGTGTAAGTACCAAATAAAGTACTTCACTGAAACAGAACCTATTTCATACTACATCCAACTATGCAAGGAACCCAGATCCACGCATCAAATGTAGTAACTTCTTCTTTAGATATTGAATCTAAGTCTTTATTCATCATGTTTTTCATATTTTTGGAGAACTTGCAGCATCTCAATAATGCACTGAGTCTTGTTGCGCTTTGGAACAAACTTCAGACATTCTTGTAGAGCAAAATTGTAACCATCGATGAATGACTCCCTGACCAAGGATAATGAATTAGAAACAGTATTAGGACTCATCGAATTTCCTGTATCCACACATTTTTTGTCATCTTCTTCCCTTTTTCGTTTTACATCTCTATCCTGTGATGTGGTTCCATTATTTAATTCTGCAAACATTGCAATAGGACCAGTAGGTGTCTGTAATTTTGAGAAGGATGGAGCGACTGTAGGTGAAGAAGATAAAGTTGGAATAAACTTTGCAGGAGACACTTGTGGTGTTGAGAATCGTAAATTGAGGGTTGATGTACAAGATGAAGTTGAATTACAGTTCTTGATAGCAGGACATGGTTGTGTTTCTGGTGAACTGATGGAAGGTGATGCGAAATTGATATTCCCTTTAAGTTGTGCTGTTTTGGTACCACTCGACATTGTAGATATGTAAATCCTTCTGAAAAGCAATAAAAGAATAATTAGATTCCATCATTTATAGTCAGGAATAAGTTTGTTAATAATTGAGACCTTCCCCATTTTCGATTTTTTAAAAATACACATTGAACTCATGGACTGACTATAGTATTCTAAAATAAACACATTGCTATCTTATTACTTCGAAAAAAATATCGTTCTCACCTCGTTAAAGATTTTGGATGGAACCTATTCATGAAAAATTTGCCAAACAACGCGAGCAGCAAAGTCAAGCAAAGTGAAACATTTGAAACATCAAACTATTCCATGCGTACCAACGTGTAAGCTTAAATTTGTAGTGAACGTATTTTGCTTATTAGATATAGTTAAAAAGTGCTTTTTGCCACTAATAAATCCTTTTCTAGCAGCGTAATGAGGACAAATTACTTAAAGCAATAACTAAAAATTATATTGTTGAAAACCCGTTTCGTTATTTCCGAAAAAAAAACAAAGACGACTAGAGATCCGAACGATGCTATTGGTAATATAATCATGGCGCGCGAGTCGACAGGTTTGAAAAACAAGAAGAATCTAAAAACGTGCATATGTGTAAGTGCAATACTTTTTGTCTCAAAATACTTGAAAAAACTTTCTCTGTCTTCTTCTTAAAGTTTAATGTATTAAGAAATTGAAGCCGATACACGAAAATGTGCATGGTGTAAATACAACTACAAATTCATTAAAAAAATATTCACCCTGAAAGTCAAATTGACCATAGCCACGCGCACTGTTTCTATGAAGTTCAAAAGGTCAAACTCCACTTTGCACTTCGCTGTAAATTATTTATGTGAATTTCAGACTTAGGAAGCGGTGACGTAAACAAAACGTAATTTGTACCGATTTTATTCTAAGCGCTGAATATCACGTGACTTATCAAAATATTAACGACCTTCACTAGGTGGACCTCGTTACCAGACAACAACAGCAATAAGTTGTGAAATTTTGTGCCTGCATAAATACAAGGATACTTTACTGTTACATTTATCGTAAGTTTTTTTTTTCTCTTCATATCATTAACAATAATACGACTATCAAGTGTTCATTAAAACACTAATAAACGTGACCTAACATAACACAGTCTATTGCACATCGAATACCAAAAAAACATTGATACCAAAACAGAATCAAACACGTGACAGTAATATGAATAACGGTCAGTAAATGTCAGAGGTATTGAAATAGATTGATTAAATTAACCAAAACACCGATGAATACAAAAATAATCATTAATACGTCCATGATTTTTTTGTCAACATTGTATCCAATGTAAGGTATACCAGGAAGCAGCAACATGAGCAAAGTAGACTCTCAACATAATCAACATCAATAGTTCCTTGCGACGCAAACCAGATTTCAAAGTGCTCTACAAAAATCTCGGAGTGAGATCAAAATGTTCAACGAGTTCCGACATCTCCTGGTCGTTTCATTTCCTAGCTCGCGACATCAAATACCAAAAACGACGTCATTAGTTAGATCTTCTTCGGCTCCATCAATTTCATTGTCATCGGAACAGCTGTATGTCTCTTCAGTACCTGTGACTCCATCTTCGCAGAAGGTCAGCAGAGGTAATAATGAAAACGTCAAAATAAATGAGTCCAGGGACGCTCAGGCGTTGTCTTCCACGCCAAGGAGTCGTAGAAATTCTCAGGGCGATTATTTGAGGAACGATAATTCTGTTCAGGACTTAGAATTCGAAATACAAACGTTATCGAAGGGTCGTGCTTCTTTAGGCGTCCCAAGGTCATCACCTTCCGTAAACAAGGAAGACGACGAACTTTGGAATGTATTGGATACCATACGGAACAAAGGAACAAATATGCTGGCCCGAATTAATGTTGACAATGTTGACGCAACAAGAACAGAAAGAAAATACATTGTTGAGGAAGAGGTTGACGTCACGAAACTTCAACGAGAAAAAGTAGAAAGTTTTAATAGGATTCAGAAATTGGAAAAGGACGCTACGACGAGTCATAAGCTTGTAAAAAAGTTAAAGAAGCAGTTTGACGAGCTTACGAAAATCAGGAATGAACTCCAGGAACATCTTCTGGACGAGTCTGCCTCTAGATTACATAAAGCTGAACCTGCTTGTGATTCTGCTTTTATTGAACTCTTACCGACAGCCGGTAACAATACAGATTTACCCTGTGAATCGATTACTGTTGCTGCCATCGTTTCAGAAATAATCGATAGGATTAAATTTCGAAATAATACCACGGATAAGACTGTCGCAACTCAAGTAGAGCCGGCAGACTTTCAACTTGGTCCAGATGAAACGAGTGTCAAGATACAAAGAGGACAATTGGGTTTGCTTGACGATGCATTGGCTTTTCCAAAAGAGGTTATTAAAGTGGAAGATATCGATAGGGCAAAAATATTGACAATCTTGGAGCAGCGGTCTCACGTGGTATTGCAGAGACACCTTATTATCGCAATCGTTCGCAATCAGGTAAATTATTTATCTGAAGTATCTAACGTAATGTATCATCCTATCTATGATGTTTTTACTTATAGATATATGAGAAGAAACTGGATCAGATTCAAACGAATTATAATTATCTTATGACACGTTTCAACCACTTGTCTCAAATGAACAGCAATTTGTGCAAAGAGGTAATTATTCGTTTAATTAAAACCATAAGTTATGTATTAATAATTAACTAAGTCACGTCATTCAAATTTCACTGATCCTTCCAGTCAATAGAACAGCTCAAGGAACTGCACAGTGCAAGATTGAGAATCATGGAGCTGATGCAGTTGGTCCCATTGACTGAACTAGAAGTTGAAATGCAGAATGAAGAAAAAAATAAAAAATCAATACCAACGATGTTGTCAACGTCTCTTTCTGGTCGACGTGAAATTTCTCAACCTGTACCAGTACCAGGAGTGTATACCCCTCCGCGCCAAGTCACACCTGGCACGAAAGGTTCGTCAAGATTTATGTCAAGGTCATATGTTCAACCTCATAGCAGTTACAGCTCGACAAAGAGTCACGACACAGGTACTAGGGAATCCTTGAATAAGAGTCTTCTAGAACGTCGTAAAGAAAGTTCAAGATCTTTTGAAAAGATAACGAGAACGCAGGATCCCCTGACGAAGAGACTTGGTAATTCCAGTCGAGACACCGGAAATAGATATTTGAAGAATACAAGACACTCTATAGAAACTAAGAGATACGGGACACGTCCAGGACCTTCAATATCAACTGGACCATCACATTATAGATCCGACTATCCAGATCCAATTGCAACTGGTACCGCACCTAATGAAACATCAACCCGTAGAAAACTCTTCTCCTGGAGTAATCTACTCAAGTGATAATTCAATAATTGAAATCATTATTCTCATTGCTACCCCAAAGGACATGTAGCGCACGTGTCATCTCATGGAATAGTGTTGATAGTGCCGCCCACTAATGTTTAATGTACGCACCTTCCCAAGATAATATAACATACACATATGGTAGAGACCAGCTGAATTGTATGTATATATAACTTTGGTGATTTCAATGCCAAACAATTGTTTCTGAACTTTGTAATTATACTTATTATAATATATGATTGCGGTCAATTAGATGAAATTTCCATATAAAAGGACAAAAAATATAGAACCATAGGACAGTAACCAAACAAAAACGTACTGCGAGTGTCAAATTAGGTTTCACATTTATTGAAAGAACTCAGGGCGATAAACTTTTTGATATTCCAAATCGTTTACAATGATTAATTCGGATTGACGATGTGCTATTACGCGTTTAGAATCGTAAATGATGCATTGTCATTTATAAAAAGCACGAGAAATCGAACATCCGACGTATGCCTTTTACTCCTAGATTTTTTAACAGTGAGCGTGCGTCAAAGGAAACAATACGAAAATACATGTATCAATCTCAGTTTACATATATGACGTCAAGTTAATTAACGTTAATCCTATACCTCTGCCATCAATTTATTCCTCTTTTATGCTTAGAACAGTTTTGTTGAATAACACTGATACTTTATCTCGTTTCAAATCTGAAATAAATATTAATTTTTTAGTACTTGTACTTTACCTAGCTAATTTTTGGTCTTCGAGCTCCAAGAGCTAACAACTATCACTCGACTCCTGGCTTAGCTAGGGCTAAGCCCAAACTTCTCAAGGGAGACTTCTGCACCAACATCGTAGACTAGTCAGTTTATATCCTAATGAGATAGGAGAGGTAAATTTGATAATTATAAATATCCTTAGGCGTGGGTGCCCTCCTATCTGTGACCAGACATACAATTCTGTGATAATATATTTCTCGTGACAATACAGTGGCATGATATATCGTCACGTTATCGTAGCATAATTCAATGCTGAATCTTGTCAACAATATATTCACGTACAATTTTTCTAAACGGTATAAATATGCATACATGTAGACATAGGTCACAAAAGTGTTCAGATATATCGATTTCGTAATTGCGAAAAAGAGATAAGAATTTACGATTTTATAAAGTTTCTTATCATGTTTCGCAGTCGTCTTCGAATCAATTAAATATTTTACCTGATCATATCGAATACGAAGTCGCATACGCGTGTATAAACGTAATTTTGTCTTATAAGTAAAATTTTTATAATCGGAATTCAACGAAAAGGAAATACTATTGTATTATTTAAAAAAAGCGCTTAATTAATCGAATACGAAAATCTAACTGCAGTGTGATGATCGTAAAAGCATTTTTTTTCTTTGGCCCACGTATTTATTTTTGCATTCATGCGTCGAGCTTATATATTACTTTGTTGTTATCTGTTTAATGAATTTCTATGTAAAAGGGGAACTTTCGAAATATCGAACTGTCAAGAAGTTATGAGCGGATGAAAATTATTCAACTTTTATTCTACCGTCTCTGCAGTACTTTGCTTTATCAATTATTTATATCTATCTACCGTAGGAAATATAGAAGATGAATTTATAAATTTATACAATAGCTGGTAACAATTGTGTACCCATCACTTTTTCACAGGCAATTGTTTTCGTCATCGATTTTCGCCTTCGTTGTGACTTTTCTCGCGCACGAATTAACAGGTGACGAATAAAATCTTTGACTAAATCGCAACAGAGGGAAAAAATTCAAAAAATATCATCCGGAATGCGGTTTCGCGTACAACTGTATCAATAATTTCAGCGAAGAACGAGGTGGAAATGAAGGTGAAGGCATCGCAAGGGAATAAGAAATTAAAAGAAAGGCAGTAATGTAATAAAGTTAAAAGTAAAATTGTATAACATGTAATTTTATACATTTTTAAGAATTATAATAAACCATATGTACACTGAACCTCAATAATGGAGACAACGGTGGGCGCGGTGCGGTGAGGTAAGAGAGTAGATTGGGCGGTGCCTGCTCACCTACCTCGGCCTGTGCGTGGAACGCAGAAAGCACTAGTGTGCGAGCGAGACGCCAGCTCGTCGCTCGGTGCGTCCTTGTTGCACAGCACGAGTATAAGTGAGACGGCAACAAGGCCCCTCATGCGCAATAGGGAGCTCGGTGGAAGACTACCCGTGTCTGGACGCACGCGCGCTCTCTCTCTCTCTCTCTCTCTCTCTCTCTCTCTCTCTCTCTCTCTTTCTCTCTCTCTCTCTCTCTCAGAGTAACGCTGTAAGACGAGAAAAGCTAGTAGCACATAAGGAACGAGAAGGAGCTGCGCGACTCTCGCCGGTGCGAATGAGATAGACTTTTTGATTACCCATCCTCGTCACACAGCGTTGGTGCGAGAAAGAGAGATAGTGTCCGACCAAGCGTCATTAATGCTGTCCAGCTTGTCGACGCAGTGCGGTGAGGCAAGAGGGGAGAGTGGGTGGTGACTGTCGATCTACCAGGATACGTGCGTGCAATGCAGCGAGCGTTATGGTGCGAGAGAGAAGCCAAAGCGTCGCACGGTGCGTCCTTTTCGCAAAGCACGACTGTAAGCGAGACGGCAATACCATCCCTGAGTTGCATCTGGGAGCTTGGTGGGGCATCTTCTTCTCCTATGCTGTTGCCCAGACTAGCTAGCGTTAATGCCCCACCAAGCTCCCAGGTGCAACTCAGGGATACTATTGCCGTCTCGCTTACACTTGTGCTTTGCGAAAGCTGCGTTGCACGCACGTATGCAGGTAGATCGACAGTCACCACCCACTCTCCTCTCTTGTCTCACCGCACTGCGTCGACAAGCTGGACAGTAATAATGATCAGTGTACAATCAGTGTACGAATTAATTTCCTATTGTGCAGGCATTCGAGTATTGACACAGTTTATATGACATTCAATAAATTTCGATATCGATGTCAAACTTTTTCTTTTAATTCCCGAGAGCCACCATTAACGAAACTTCAGATAAATTTCGTTTAATGAATTACGGCAATAAATAAAAAAAGAATATGAGTGTATTAAAAAAAAAAAAAAGAATTGAACAGTACAAAAATAATCTCTGAAACTCATTGCTCTTGTTTACTGCCAATAAAAGGAACGATCGTGCCAACGATCCTGCAAGAACGAGAAATAAAACTAAGCTCACCTATTAACTTTCCCGGGCAGTAAACAGTTTTCCAATGAGTCCTAAATTACTTGAAATACATCAAAGGGAGAACGAGCATACAAAAACAAAGAGGGAGTGATCAAATCGCATGACCACCGATAAAACTACGGAAACGCCGTATCAAAGTATTATATAACAATTGCTAAACGACAATCTTCTCTTCTCCCAACACACTTAGGCCAGACTAGTTGTAATCAGACTGTACAACGCTCTTATGGCGTCCTCAGTCAGATCCGGTGGTCCAAATAGAAACTCCCTGCGAGATTTTGGGTTCTGCAGGACCTCCTCCATGGTCTCCGCGGTTAGCACCAATGAGTGTAGAGATGCCTGAGTGAGATTGACCTTCCTGGCCAAGGTTCCCGTGATGTGAACATCGTCGATCCAGAAGTAGGGTTCCTTCTGCGCCTCCCGGTACAGCAGGAACACCGTGTCCGGCGAGTAGAGTATCGCCCAACCGGCGCAGTACGCCGGATAATGTCGTCCGGGATATTCCAGGGGCGATACACGCCACTTGGAGCGCCAGGACCTCTTGACTACGGCCGATGGCAGAGGATCGCAGAGGATGAGTCGTCTGGCACCCCAGGGTGAGAATTCATGGATCAGGAAGTCGAGCATCGCAGGCATGTGAACGAAGACGTCGTCGTCTAGCTTCAACACGTATTTAGCACCTGGGCAGAATTATCTCGTTGTTACTGATTGAAAGAGACAAATGATTTTTATTGGTAAACTTGCATTCCCTCTCCTTATCCTTGGCTGTTATCACGGGTGCACTCGTATTACGTGGCGAGTCAATTGCGATACAAATAATTGAATTGTTATTGTTATACTGGTTATACATTATTATTCATATATTTGATAAAGTTTATTTATTTTTAAGGGATTATTGTTTCCTGACGATACGACGAATCACGCGCGTATTCATTAGAAAAAAAAAGTCTGACACTCAAATATCCGCTTGTTGTTCAATTCGATTGCTTATTTCTGGTACGGTGTACTTTTAACGGAGGATCAAATTGGATTGCGTTGATAAAGACAAAAAAGTGGGCGTTTCTCTTTGTATAATGGCTGACATAAATTGAACCGACTGTAAACGTTCGTGTAGGTGAACCAATGTCATTAAATTTACGTGTACGACTCTATAGGTTGGCCTTTGTGGATCAAGTTTGACGTACTGTAAGTTGATCTAGTGTAAAGTAACCTGTACGCCATGGTTCGAGTAACGAACAACTGGGTCGGGTCACAGTTGGGTCACAGTTGGGTTACACGTCGGCTTAGAGTTCATATTGAATGAAGCTTTGACGCGGTAAACGGGATCCTTTGGTTACTGTGTTGATAAAACAAAGATTAGGCGGGTAATTCAAATATGCTGAAGAAGTTACAATGCTCATACAGACATCATGCTGTCGCGCTACTTTGAATGAGGGACGAGAAGAAGATTGTAAACGTGTTATTTAGAAAATTTTTAATACGAACAAGCGCCCAATTTTTGAATTGCTTGTCGGACCAAGGCTAAAATCGTATTTGTAAATTTTTTATAACTAGTATCGGCTATTACACTGACGTCAGGTGTGAATCTATTGATTTTCGAACAACGGGAAATCAAATTGTACGTGTTCTTTTTTTCGAATAAATTCGTCGATGGATAAGAGTGACTTTAGTTGCTGCGCATTATTCCCGGAATGTATCATCGAGTCTCTGGCAAAGAAACTTATATCAAAATGGATCCCATTCGGTGATTAAATATGACACTCCGCACCCCGCAATACTTTTATTTGAATTAAGGACGCATCAGCCATTTCAGATTTCCCGTGATCGTGTAACTGACAATCAGACACAGTTGTGCAGGAAAATAAATTTTTTTTACGAACGACACGGTAAATAAAATTCAGTCGTTACGATTAAAGCTGATTGAGAAAGTGACAGAAGAGCGTGAACTCACTTTGACAGTGATAAGTAGCCCACTTGAGCGCCATCACGTGTTTATAGGTCATATTCCTGTAGGCGTCAAGAAAATTTCCTTGAATAAGATCCCCGTATACTCTATCCTCCTCTTCCAAGTGTGCCTGATGCTGCTCGGACAAGCCAACGAGGAACAAGAGGGTAGCAGCTGGAGTCCTTTTGCCCCAAGTGTCCCGTACCACCTTGCGCTTGAGAAAGTTCCCAGGAGCCGAGTGCACCAGGACTAACAAGAGCAGCGATTGGCTGCCATTGCACGGATTGTGATTCAAAGTGAACCGGAAGTTCTTCATGTCGATGAGTGTCGACTCGTCATCGGGCGGAAGTTCGCTCATCGAGTAAGGATGGGGTAGGGCCGATGCGTTCTGCGGCAATATCAGGAGGTAACCCGAGGCTGGTGCGCTGGCTGATATCGGCACCGGCGGACCTGGGCAACCGTTGAGAAGCCAGAAGGAAAAGCATCCTGTGATCGTGAGTGCTACCACGAAGAGAAGGCTGCATGGCGGCGACCCGGGCGCGTGGAGTCGCCGCTTATCCAACATGCTGAAGATGCCCACTCATCCCACTCCTGCTGAAAGAAACATCAAAAAGATATGTTAACGCTCACAGCGGCTCGTGTAAACTTTGAAAGTAAAGTTAGCTTAGCCGACGGATTTGAAGAACTGACAGACACACTCGGCATATTGAGTATCGAGCGCGGCTACGAGTGCAACTGTCTCACACGTTGTCGAACAATGAGTCAATTAAGGTTAGGCATCTTGCTCTAGACACAGTTGCTGATTATAATCACAATTCAAAATCTAGTCTCAGATTTCGAATGAAGTCAAGCGTAACTTGTACGACGCTGATACAGGCGACGTTGCTGCTGGTATTCGTATAGCCAAGCGAAGAGCTTCGGTCGACGGTGGCGCCATCTGTGAAAAACAACACGTACCTTCTTCGCAATTATAAACTTCGTCTTTTTATACACGCTAAGGCGACTGGCATTAGGGTAAACAGCCCAGGTAACGACCCCTAGAAAGCGGCCGTGACGGATTTTTGCTATTTACTCACGCGTGGTATAGTCAAACTGAAAAGTAAAGGTTTCAACACGTGCGTTAAAGCCTTCCGTTGTGATTCACCTATTATGCAAGTGAAACAATTAAGCTCTATTACTTATTATTGTTTTAGTAGCGCATCTCTGCGGTCATGATTTCTGACCGTTGAGAAACACCCATGCCGTAGTTTGTGATCCTTGCGCGTACCTGATGAATGACCGCCTTGGCGCAATTTATGACGCCTGCGCATTTTATAACGCCTGTGCGTACCCACTGTCCGCCAATTCCGAATACCCTCATACAAACGACGGTCAACAACACAACGACACAACCTGAATTATCTGACGCACTTATTGTTCCGCGAATTTGCACAAATATCTAACGAAAAGTTAAGCAATTTCTCATCTCATCGATAGTCTGGTTCCTACTGAAGATGTTGACACCATTTTTATGTCGTTTTAATCTTACCCGACGAACAAAATTCACAACGACGTAGCACGTCGGAACTACTCCCCACCGTCTAGCACTGCCGCTGCGTAGCCCACTGGGACACGTGTTGCACTGTTCACTGGTCAATTTCTATTCTAAAATATTTCATTTAAAACGGCGTGTTCCTCCAATAATGTGAAAAACGCTTTTCAATTGGCCGGTCATTGAATTATTATTCGACAAAACCTGCATTTATGGCTGTCAAAATTATGCCATCGACATCACAATCTGGGACCCAATCAATCACTCGGCCGTTTACCCTGTGCAACGAAATTATCTGATACAATTAGTAACGAAATTCCCAAGTCGAAATACACCCGATGAAAATACACGATAAAAGCACCAAACAAAGTCTTTGCTATCGCAATAAACTTCCAGAGAAACACAGGTAATTGGCACAGAGGACCTTGAACATTAATCGCGTAACTTTTTTTTTTACAACAGCCAAAGACCCACGGACTTACGTTACGCATTAGAGTCGTATAAGAATGTCTTATCGATCGAACCACGAGATTTCGCCCGACGTGTATCGTAAAGTTAGAAAATTGTATAAGGCACGAAAAATATAAGGAACTTGAGCACGATACATAAATATATTGCGTAACCTATCTTTATCGACAGAAAACCAGGCACCGTTTCCACCCCCCTACCCAAATCTTTTTCATCAATAATTCAAAACAGACACAAACGCTGAAGACGATAAAGAATCTGCAAACATGATACAACCCGATCGATCATATCAAATCCAAAGATGAACTCACTTGGCGCGAAAATTCAACTACTTAGCCAAACCGGAACTCGATGAATTTAAACTCATGGACACGATATCCCAGAGCGATGTGAAATATGAAAATATAAATTACCACGTAATGGCTAATAGGATTGTAGACGCTTGCGATTTCACCACGTGAATTCACCCTCTGATCTATCTACGTCTTTACCATAGCGTCGCAGAGGAAAATTACGACGAAGATTACGCAACCGGTCCCTTTCATTTCGAGACGTCGTTATCGTTATCAAAAACGATTTTTCAACTTCGACCATTCTAGCTATTTCCACGAATATACATATATCTACCATAGGGCGTTACCGATAATTACAGCACTGGACCCATCGCCATTAAACGGTGTCTGACACGTCATCGCCTTGATTAAACGACCAACCAATGAATAATTACGTGTTGAACTCTGATTAGCAATTTACGCCAATGGTTTAGGTTAGGTTACGTTTAACGATCTAACATAAATGGCGTAAATTTGAAAATCAAATTTGTAAAGTCCTATCTAGCGAACAATATTATACCTATAGAACGAATTGTTACCTTGTATCACCTTGTCCGTTAGAGGTCGCCGATGTAGTATCGGGATTTGAGAAAATTTAGTCACGCAACAAGGTTAAGCCAGTTCACGACAGCCTGATTAACCTCTAGATCCCGGCAGGGTAACCGCCGACGTTATTGGTCGAATTCCTAGTGCTGATGCATGTTCGCCCTCAGCCTGAGTACGTTTCCTAAGTAGCCGACGGTTCTTGGTTATCGTTATCACTGACAAGAGGTGTTGGGGTTAGTTTTATTTAATTCTACGGTTATTACCCTAATTAGGTAAGTCGTCATAATGGCTTATGAAAAATTGTGTAACTTGGAATTTACGCGCCCAGATATTACCTTACACGTACAATGTGTGTGTATATGTGTATATATAATATATGATTAATCGGATCAAACGAGCCAACTGAAGTTTGCTGCTCCTTTGCCAGCTTCGGTCGATTCGTTTGAATCTGTTGATTCTGTATATGTATACAAGATATCTGTTCGAAATTTTTTTTTGATTAATTACGATTACTAACAGATACATACGTTGTGCGTATATAACGCGTGATTTCCAGTTGTATCGAGTTCAATTTTTGAGGTTAGGTCCACAGGTACGTATATCTGTAACAAACGATAACACACAGTTTATTGATTGCCAAACTCACGCAGCTTCGTAAAACGAGCGCGTAAATTTGAATGGAAGAATGGCGTCGTCGGCGAACTTAGGCTCCGCTGCAATATGATTTACTATCACGCAATGCTAATCGCACGGTGTCCAGTGATAAGTGGCGGTTTACTTCCCACAAATTTCCAACTGCAGCAACGTGTATTGCAACGTATCTTTCTTAACTTGACATCGATAGCAAAAAATCTGAAAACTAACCTACGTTACCTTCTGCCGTCCACCCTTCGCTCATGCATCCGCAAGTCAGGCGGGCGTCAGCCAATTCTTTTTTCATCGGGAACTGACAAGCCAGTATGAACTGGGAGTTGAGGTGGAACAGGTCCAACTCTACCAAAACAAAAGCTCTGACCGAACCTATCAGAAGAGACGATAACTTAACGGATCCTGTCGATTTTTGGGGACGCGTAAAATCGAGAAACGCAACCGTAGGTGCTGATCTTTGGGGTCGCGTAAAATCGGTAAACGCAACTGGATGCACGAACGGGAGTGGACGGTTACGGAAATGCGCGACCGCTCAAGCTGCTAGGTTGAGGTAGAGAGGGTCGGAGTAAGAGTCAGGCAAATAGTGCGAGAGACAGAGAGGGACGAATCGAGAACGTAGCAGAACGAATCTGAACTATCTAATCGAAATTCTTGACCAATTAATAAATTGGGAGTCCTCACCGGAGCTGGTGCAGCTAATCCGTGAAGGCCGAGAACTGTATCGAGCGGACACTTAGTTGGGTACTGCACTAGGGAACAGCACCACACCTCCGGAACACTCAAGGATATCGCGAAAGCAACGCGAGAACTACAGGAGCAAGAATTTGCTAGAACCCATCGAAAAACAACTAGAAAAATTATCAACAGATAGCACGGGTTGCGGGAGCCAGTTGTGACACCTCGGTCGGTGCCCCGAGAGAGACTCCTTTGACAATAGTCAAATTCGAGAACTAATCATTCTGATTTTTCGAGATCCTTATAGCCGATAGCTCTTCCATTTCCCTCGAATCGTCCCTTTAAACCAAATTGAGAGCGTTCCTTAGCGAATCGGTACGTAACTTTGGAAATCCTCCACGGCCGTTTCCCCAGGGCATCGGGCGACAGCTGGGTACCACATCCTTAACTCGAGCAGATGGTTCCTTCCCTGCCCTTAACCGTATCAAAACTATAACTCCGCCCGCTGTACAGCCCTTTGCCCATCTCCAGCGGGGCGCCGGTATCTCACCCGGGCTTCTGCCGGTTCGTGGAGACGTCTCCGTCGGGTAGTTTCCTCTGTCGGGCAATTCGGTAAGTCGAGACTATCTCCCCACGGCAGACTCGAGCACCTCGATCTCAACTAAACAATATCGAAATCTTACGAGAGCCTTGACATAACTGTACGAATCAACCCGAGAGCGTAGCTTCTGAGCAGGGTGGCGACCCGAAGAGAACCAGAAATCGAGAACATCATCTGTATCGGTAACCTGAGCCGCCTTGTGACTGTGAATCGAAAAATTATGTCACAGTATATATTCAGCACGGAACTTGAAATTAGCAGCAGAAGGGATTTGAGCTGCGAGATAATTTGCCCAAAGTTTATCCGATGGTAACTATCCGCTTCAGGGAAGCAGAATGCAGTTCGAAGGCGCCACCTCTTGGATATCGAGAGCCGAATGTCACTTTCTCACGTGGTTGAATTTATGAGTAAAAAATAATTTATTTTTGTCACTTCATTGTTAATTCAAAACTTTACGTATATGCAACCTGTTACAGTAGGTCTTGAACAATTGCGCATATATGATAATTACGACAAACACAATCAGTACCTGTTAACTTCTTGTTCTAATCTTGTATATGTATATATACCTAACCAAACCTTACCTTCACTTTGTACTTCTCACGTATATCTAATTGCGCGAAGCAACTTGTGTATACATACTTAACTGCTTATAGGTGTACATACAGTCAGCTCTTTAGCAAAGTCCTATACGAAGCTCTAGCACATTACCTATACACATATATAGGTATATTTGTTGCTGG